TAATGCACCCCAGGATCCCACTGGCCTTCTTGGCAGCCAGGGCACACTGCTGGCTCATGGTCAACCTGTCATCCACCAGCACTCCCAGGTCCCTCTCCACAGAGCTGCTCTCCAGCAGGTCCGCCCCAGCCTGTGCTGGTGCCTGGGGCTGTGAGGGCTGGGCAACACCCCTGCCCATGGCTGTACCTGTACAACCGGCGCACAGGAAAAGCTGTCAGAAAACTGAGGGTTCAACACACATGTTCCCATTTGGAAACTCTCAGGCTGTTACTCCTTGTTGTTGCATGTCTGAACACTGACAGCGCAGCTTGCTCCAGGTTTGCAGCAGTGTTTCACATGCTTTACGAAGCATAAATTGTACAACATGCTGTAAAACTGGGGGTTGCAACCTAGGTACGGCCAAATTGTTCAGGTGCACAACGGTAAAATTATGAAGAAATAAGCTGATTTCACCTAAACAATCTCGAAGTGGTAAGCATGGTGGAAAAAGCAAAACAACTCTGTTAGTTGAAAAGAAAGTAGCCATGATGGAGAATCACTGTACGTTAAAATCAGAGCAGTCTGATCGGACGGAGATGCTCTGCTGGATGTTTTAACCCCGTATCGGAACGGCCACCTTGCCTAAGATGGGACTCTCAGCCTCCCACTCCCGACAGGCTGCGGTGGGTTTTTCTTAACGAACATTTTCATCCCTGAAAGCAGGAAATTCAGTCTCCGCAGAACAGAGAGCAGCTCGGGGACACGGGCAGTGAACCCTGCTTCGAGCCTCCCCCCGCCCTGGCAACAACCGCTCTGTTCCTCCTTCCATCCTCAACCCCAGCAGCTTTTTTCGGCTCCCAGCTTTACACCCAACCTGTTGCAGACATCACTGAGTCCAGGTTTCCCCCCTCCCCCAGTAACTTCCTAGGAAATCCCCAGCTATTTATGTGCAACTTTAATTTCTGCTTGTCAGGGCTCGCACGAGCCCTTGGACGAAGGGGCTGCCTAAGCGGTTGCACAGCACGCAAACGACCAGCTCTTGTTCACCCAAGTCTTACTGATGCTACAGGTCTTACCTTCATCATCTCTTTGGCCAAATCCCTCATCGTTGCTTGGATTTCAGGGATTTTGACGAGATTTTGCATAGCTTTCATGACTTCTGTGCTCTTCTGCAATGAACCTGCTACTCTCAGGACAGCTGTGAAGGAGATGCACAGAAAAGCTTCACTGATCCATGCACCACTGAAAGCAGAGAAATTATATCCTCCCTACGTGGACAGACATTCGTATGCATTCAGGCAATTCAGTTCAAAAAAGAAATGGGCATCTTGCTGCTTCATTCTTGTCCACCTTCCTGGAAAACCTCAACCCCTACCCACATCAGAAAAAATAAGTTTCTGGCAAAGATCTCGGTCCTTTGTGATGAACCTGGAGCGACCCAGATTGCCGGCAGTGAGATTTCAGCCCGCTTGCACCCAGCTCCTACAGAGAGGTCCCTGCGGAGCTCCCGCCTGTGCCCTCCGCAGCCAGAGCTCTCGCTGAGCGCTGCGCCAGCGGAGCTCCCGTCCCGCGCCACGGCCGACTGCCGACCTTCCGCCCGACACTGGGCAGTGGAAACTAACGCCGGCACAAGTTCCAGCACGATAGTTTCACAGCAAACAGCAAGCTAGAAAATTAATACTGAAGCAGATAAGCTGGAAATAAGTTTAAACTGAGTTAAACAATACTCTTTGCAGGGGCTATTGTCACAATCTAGCTCAAAAGCTCTTCCTGCCTATGTTGGCACACCAAGATCAAAAAGCAATAATTAGGGGTACTTTGAGCTCCGTGAATGGTGGCACCTAACACTGCGGCTTCCTCGCCATGGAGAACTTACCTGTTTGTATATAAAATGGTCACTCCTTAATGAAGCAAAATGAAGGTACAGCATATATTATTTTTCATTTTAGTACTCAATTTCTTTAAGAACATCACACTTCTAACATTAACAAACTAACAGAAATCTTGCCTTCAGCCGTCATTTCCCCAGGATGAAGCAAGTTAATACAAAGGCCAGGCTGAATGCTGGGTTCCTCCCCATGGCTTGGGGAAGCGTATCAGAACATTCCCCGTCAGCTGAAAATGCTGGCAGCAGGGGTTTTTCTTTTAAAGGACCCCTCAAGCTGCAAGATGGCCTCTGCTTCCCTTTCCTGAATGAGGTCCTGTGCAGCCTGCTGTAGGTGACCTGCTTCGGCAGGGGGGTTGGACTGGGTGACCCCCAGAGGTCCCTTCCAACCCCTATCACTCCGTGATTCTGCGAGGTGCACAGGGAGCCACGTTCAGCCTGTCGCGAGGTTACACTTCAGGTTCACACTGCGATGCCCGGTTTATCACTCATCCGGTGTTCAAATCCTCTAGTAAATAGCTCGGATAACGCACGGCTGGGGGAAACACCTGGACGCTTCAGCGGTACTTTAGCCTCCACCAAGTCTTTCCCTCTCTTTAATGCCTTCTGCTCTCCTCTCGTGACAGGCTAAAATGCTCTAAAGGTAGGGAAAATACTGCAGGAGATCGATTACAACAGAATTCTGATGTGGGTAAGGAATGAGGGGAATCTGCTGGACCTGGGGGAGAACACAAGACCCAGTGGGCTTTACAGCGAGGCAGGTGCTAAAGCCCCAGGGCAAATGGAGTCAGCCACAGCGAGAAAATCAAACACCATGCCCCATCTCCTTTTAGGACTTGGTAAGCGTCCTAAGACTCTGGCTAGAGAAACAATACAAGCCGAAGGGAATTCTACCGAAGAAAATAAACCTCACGTTACAGATCCTGTCAAAAATCAGTAACAACAATGGGCTCCAGAAGGACACAGGGATACTAGGCACGCACTCACACTCTTCAGGAAAGCACGCTGAAAACGTGCCCCAGATTGCTGGAAGAGAAGTCTGTTTCAGAGCACGTGTGAATCACATCAGTGCAACTCTCAGGCTCTGAAGAAAGGTGTCAGATTATCTGCTGAGCAGCTAATCAGAGGAAACAGAGAGCCAGCGAGGATCTAGGGAACAGTGAGGGGCAGGAACCCAAAAAGCTAACTGGGAGCTCCCTGCCAGCTCCAGCCCAGGGTGGGAAACCCACCCAGACAGGGCAGTGGTGAAACGGTCTCCAGGACCTCCTGCAGACTGATGGGAGTTACTGCCCACAGGGATACAGCACTCAGCATGGGATGCGGGGAAAAGAGCATTTTTTGAACCACGAAAAACTTCCTATGGAATCTTTCAAGGGGACTGCAGGAAAGTGATTGAACATGAGAAATTTTTTATCAGATGTTTAGGGGAAGGACTGAAGGTGGAGGAAGCGAGGGATCAAGGTGGACCAGGGAAGACACAGACCTCAGGGGCCTACAGGTCCAGGCACCGGCAGCTCATGCAGAGGAGAAGATCTGGGGCCAGTTAGCAGGCAGCTGGCCAGCTTTGCAGGTCCGAGAGCAGCTACCAGAACCACCTACACATTGTGTGTGCACACATATATGTATTCCACCTGCAGACCTCACTCCTAATCGACTGAAGAGGAAGGCCAGGACTGAGCTGTCAGCACTGCTCGTGTCTGTGTGAAGGCTGCGTGTGTTTACACGGGTGCTGGTACAGGCTCTGCTGCAAGCGCGTGTAGGTGCATGTGCCTACTGGGAGTAGGTGCTCAGCCTGGCTGGATGCGGGGACGCGCGACTGCAGCAACCCCACGCCTCCGGGCCTGCTGTGGGAGGCATCTCCCTGGGTTCTGAAGCCCACTGGAACGGGCTGCCCTTCACAAGAGCAGGGCTGCTTCCAAATTCCAGCTCTGCCTGCGTTTGGCCTTGGTCCTGAAAATGGAAACCCAGACCTCACCTCTAAACCCAGCAGCGCTCAGAAGTTGTTCTTACCAAGCTGGTTCTTCATCCCCATGAGAACAGAGTTCATGTGAGCTTTGGATGCATAGAGTTTGCTTACGGCCTTCCGGGAGCGGATCAGTTCCTTTGCCAAGATCACACACACATCCTTCTGACCCTTTTTGGCAGCATCCTTTATCGACCGCTTCACCTTCTCCTCTTCTCTCTGGATATCTGGAGCACAGAAAAAACACAGCAAATAGTGACAAGCTGCTAACGATTTGGAAGAGAAACGAGTCACTTGTTGGGGTGTACTTTCAATGCAAAGAATCATTTCTCCTTGATTTCAGATTCCCTCTGTTACTCAAAGACCTTGTTCTAGACTGATTTACATGTTAGCTGATTAATTCAACTAAATATTCATAGGAAAACTCTCATTACTAAACATCCATCTCTAATTTCCCTCACAGTTAAGAGCACTGTAAAGGACTGTCCAGGAATATCACTGCATGAAGCTGAGCTAAGATGAATTCTTCAGAAGCAAGAAAAGTCCAGCAAGAACAAAGCATGCCGAGATGACTCCTTGACTTACAACTTCAGAATAATTTCCTGACTATTAAAGGGGCCTGATACATATGTGTGTATGTTTATAAATATATGTATAATATATACACACACAGTTTAAGATTACTGATTTGCTGCTTACAAGATTACCTTTTCCGTGTTCACCCCCAGACAGCCCCACTCCACCAGGAAGGAACAAAGCTGTCACAAGGAGTGTAAAACGAGTAGTGTCAGAAGCCAGACAGGCATTTTACTAGCAAAAATACTTACCTGTCAGACTACATTCAAAGCTTAACCCTTATGGCCACCTTCAAGTGAATCTGGGGGCTGCTGCAGGCAAAACTGCCCTCACTGTTTCTAAATCCCTGAAATCTGTTTTTCTGGAAAAATACATTCCATAAGATTGTAGAAGGCTGATCTCACAAAGGCTGGAAAGTTTTAGATATACACAGTCTTTAAAAAAAAACCAAAAAACCAAAAAAACCCACACCCACTTATACAGTGAATACAGAAGGGCATGTCCACAACTTTAAGAGTTACTCAGAACCACAGATTTGTTCATTACTGCCAAAAAAAGCCTTCATGCTTGCACATAGACTTAATTATTCCCCTGTCAGGCACAACTCATTGAGCCTCAGCTGGACACCCAGGCAAGTCTCTACTTGTACTTAAGGAGTTAAATCTTGAGTTTATACTGCTCATACTTAAAGACACGATGCATTAAGTGTTTGTAGAAACCGGCACATTCAAATTATAAGCTGGCTGGTGCCAAAGCTATGGGTAATTTATCAGCGAAAACTAGCATGCTGGTAAATCGTTAGCTACAGCTTCTGACTGCCTGTTCAAACTCTCCTGGTATCCAGCTTCTTTCAACAGCTTCTTATTAGAACACACTGGAGCAGCAGTACCGAACTAAGCCTGTACAAAATGAGCATGACATAGCTGGATTTAAAATATAACACACTAAATAAGCTTCCTTAAATAACGTAGATTTCTCTGGCAAATCTGGGGTGATTGTTCACACCTCAGCCCCGTCTGATAACACCGGCTGTGTCCAGCAGCAGGCGGGTACCTAAAAAGCTCAGAGTAAGAAACACAGGAACAAGGAGGGGCCATATCAACCCCCTTCCTTTTCCAGACTCAGCAGTAAATTAGGCACTGATGAAGTGTGGCTCTAAGTCAGTTAAAAAAAAAAATCAAAAAAAATCATCCTAGTAAATAAAGAAGTCAGGTAGTAAGGGGTAGGCACACTTTCCTGTAAAGAGCTGAACCACAAGAACAATTCTTTCTAGCAATGGCTTTGCTCAAATCTGGTTTTATTCGAGTCTTCTTAATTTATACCAGACAGAAGCTACACACGGGCAAGAATCAAAAGTTGCCTTTTTATAAAAACAAAGGCATCAATGCACACTTTTTTGGCACAGGCCGACCTGGAGACTTCGACACAGCTTCTCATGTGGGAGTTAACGAGCCCTGTACTCAAGATGAGTCATTCTCTCAGTATCATTCAATGGCATCCTTATCCTCAAGGACTGCCAGGAATCTGTAGGATCATAATCAGCAAAACGTACTCCTCGGTGCTTCCCCACTGTTATCTGCAGAAACGTCACAAGCTTGAAGACATTTGTACGTCAGACACAGGAGCGAGCCAGGTCCCAGCACATCAGACAGGTAAGAAACAGCTGCAGTGGTGCAGCAGCAAACAGAAAGCACCAGGAGCGCTCCAGCAGTGCTGAGGAATTACCATACTCACTTTGCCAGGCTAAAAACCATCCACGAGTGTTCTGTTACTACCTCCAAACCAGGGTAGCGGGGCCCCGTACTGGAGTGAATGCTTCCACTTGCACGATGAACTGCTGAATATGAGATTAGTGGCATAAAATATGCAAAAGTGGTCAACTCCACCTCTGAAGGACACCGCCAGTTGCACCTCCAGTGAGCCAAAGTCACTACACCAGTCCCTCTGCAGCACTGCCAAGCACAACGGGGGCACAAAGCCCAGGCCGAAGCACTTGTCAGAGGGATCTGCAAGCTCAGCAGAGCACAAAGCTACTGTATTAATCCAAACACATTGACTCGAAAAATTCAATTCTGAAATCACAAGGATGTCTTTCGTTTCTTCCAACCTACCAAGCCCTCAAAAGCAACCTACACCAAACAGAACTCACAACAACAGCAAGAGTCCAACAGCAGATGGTTTGAAACTTGCTGTAACTGACTGGATGAGCCAGGCATTCCAAGTGGTCCAAGCCCAACCAGTCCATCCCCGGCGGATCTGCGTGTTGCCATGTCAAAACACACCTAGTGCTGCCCTCCCCAGGGAAACTAAGACAGGTCCCTGCTCAGCATCCTCACTCAGAGACGGCAGCGATTTCCTGTGTGAATCTTGACTGAAACAATAAAGCATGGCAGAATCCAACTACAGTGGGTAATTTCTGAGAAAGCCTTCAGTGGCACGTGGCTGTCACCCTTCAGCAGCCACCTGCTAGTCTGATAAGCATCCAGCAAAACTGCGTGCTTCCACAGCTGACACTCGGTAAGACGTGAAATCCCAGCACAATATGGGCAAAGATATTCTGTACTTTATTTTAATGGGAATTATCAGAAGAGCGGATCATTGGTGGTTAGTCTAAGCTCTCACATGCTGAAGTGTATTTCTTTGGATGTAACGCTCTGAAATACATACACAGACATGTTTAGAGCTGTTACAGTAACTAGATGTACATCCATGTCAAAATATCACACTACCACATAACCTGATATGTATCTATATAGGCCATGAGAAGTATTGTGGCATGCACAAAGCTGAGAGAAAACCAAAAATTCCAGAAACCATCAATAGTGAACACGTGGGTAGTTTGCTCCTTCTAAAACATACTTTGCTAACAGGATCAGCCACGTTTCAGTTGCTCTGTGCCCAACACAGTGACACAAAGTGCCCCAGAGAACGCAAAACTATCCAGAAGCACAACGGACACCACTGTACCTCAGTTTGCCTGGAAGAGGCATAAACCCTGTCCTCCTTTTACAGATGAGGACAAAGACAGACTTCGTACTGCACGAGCATCTCCCTCCCACCAACTCACACGAATCTACAAGTGGGAGAAGACATGAACCATGCTGGCTTACTCCAAGAGCGTGGGGCTGGGGAGGAAAGGGGGAAGGGAGAATGTACTGCTTAGGGGTCACCCAAACCAGTCCTGTGCCCAACAGCCAGATGCTGACACAAAATACCCTTTACCAGCACATCCCATGGGCTGGTCCTGAGGGCAGGGTAGGAGAAAAAAAGGAGGAAACAGAATCTGCCCAAAACTTATTTTCAGATTCTGGGAAGGCGGGGAGAAAAGAGAACAAGAAACCGAACTAGCAGCACTGTAATAACAAGCAACTTCTCTGCTTTTCAAAACTGTGATGCCCGTAATTTAATAGGAAAACACCCACTGAGAAAGTTGTTTTTTTGGTCCTCTCTCCTGTTTGCAATTTTCCCAAGCTGACAGTAGCCTACTTTCGTTTCGCATGTGTACTTCACACCAATACACACCCACGGAACTTTCTATGCATGGAATTACACACCACACCAATACTATTCATTGAATCAACGTGGCTGAAGTTCTGGATAACAAGTCTAATTCATCTTATCAAATGGGATTTAAGGGCATTATGTCTTACTGGAAGCATACAATATTCAGGTTCTTTTGAAAATTTTACTTGGAGAACTTCACAGCGACGTCATTTTGTAACACAGACTAAGCCTGGCCCCAGAATCACACTCATCTGCCTTTATTCCAGATGTGACACTGTACCTCAGATTATTAGAATTCACAGCCTTCCCCAGTTAAAGCAAAAAAACCTTGAAGGCAGACAGTGAAGGGAAAAAAAAAAAAAGAGATGCAAGTACAAACCTCTGATCTGTCTATCAATCACTCTCATTTCTTTCCTTATCTTCAAGGACCATTCATTGACCTTAAAAAGAGAAAGTGAGGGTTACTTGAAATTCCAACTTTAAAACTATGCTTTTACACTTTCATGTAACCATTCAATATCAAAAGAAGCACTTCAAAATGCACAAGCTTTACGTCATGAGTCGTGTTTACATATTTCATTATTCAAATAAAAAAAAAAAAACATTGCAGAGATACCACCGATTCTTTGACTCAAGGAGTTAAGGAGGATGTGGTTCATGAATCGGAGACGCTCACTGCCTGGCTAACTCCCACGTCACAGCGACGCTGCTGCGCGGAGGGAACTTGCTGCAGGGGACAGCAGCACAGGAACGACATCGTCAGGAGTGCTACTGCCCACTTCAGTCAGAAGGAGCCCCAGGAGGTCTCCAAGCAGGACCAAGTTCAGAGTTCAGGCAGGTTGCCTGGAGCCTCATCCACTGAGTTTTGACACTGTCCAAGCCGCTCCGGGCACCTGTTCTGGCACTTCATCACTCCTGTGGTGAAGAACTTTCCTCACGTCCAATTCAAAGTTCTCCTCTGGCACCTGTGGCTGTTGCCCCTTTCCCGTCACTGGGCACACCTGAAAAGTGTCTTCACTACAGCCCCGCCAGAGGCAGCGGAAGGCTTTAGACCCCTTCACCTTCTCTTCTCCAAGCTAAAACAAGCCCAGTTCCCTCAGCTTCTCCTCCTGTGTCATGGGCTCCAGTCCCCCACCATCTTGGTGGCTCTCTGCTGCACTCTCCCCACTTTGCTGCTACCCTTCTCGCTCTGGGTGCCCAAACCAGGTCACCATTTTGCAGATGTGGCCTCACTAATACCAAAAGTAGCAGAGTAACTGAACAGCCATTTGCCTCAACACGATGACTGCAGCTTGCTGATGCAGCCTGGCTTGCCCTCATCACCATGCAGGTGCACCACAAACTCACATTTATTATTCACAGGAAGCCCAGGTCCTTCCCTGCAGAGCTGCTGCCGCCCAGCCAGCCCCGGGCTGCAGATCCCTATGTGCAGGGATGGTTGTCCCACGTGCACAGCCTTGCGCTGCTCAACACCACGAGGTTCCTCAGGTCCCTCTACACGGCAGCTCTGCCCTCCAGCTTCCCTTCCCCTGCGGTTGGGAGCGTTCATACACAGCCGCCCCCTCCACAGCTTCCCTCCTGGCACCCGCTGGGGTCTCCCCGTTCCAGCACTCCTGGCTCCATTTGCCGCGACCACTGCCCTGGGGAGCACAGACATCAGACAGGCAGCAGCTGCCAGGCGTCCAGCCCACAACTGCAAGCACTTGTGGCGAACAGAGAAGCAGAGAGGGGCCGTGAGACACCAGAATCGGAGATAACACGAGCATACGAACAGAGCACCAAATGCTTGTGGAGCTCTGATGCCACTCGTGTTATTAGCAGCACAGATTTTTCTCAGTATCTAAAAAAATCCCCTAAGCATTCAGATGACCTTCAGCTCACGGATGCATTTCCATGCTGTACACAGCAGTGCACAGGCCACTCCAGAAGTCTAGTTGGCTGTATGAATAGCATCATACAAAAATCACTCCGATTTCTATGTGGCTTTTCTTAATTCAAATTAAAAGCTTCATCTACCTGAATAAGCTTTATAACAGAACTGTAAAGAGTGCTATTCAGCGCACGAGCCCAACCCAGCAGACAGATTCTTAAGACTGTTACCAGTCTCAAAAGAAATGCTCTCAATCATGATGAACAAGACAATGTTTTGACTACAGACAGTGACCATCTGAGCTGCCCAAGCACAAAATTTGCTGCAAAAAACCCCAAACCCAAAAGCCCTGCAGAGCTCTGTGTGTACACTTTATGGGTGTGCAGAGGTTTTGATGGTGGTTCAGAAACCTCCTGTACCTTTTAGTTTAATCCTGTTTTATTACAGCGAAAAAAAACCCCAGAAACCTTGACAGACTGACTGCAGCCTCCCCTCTTGCTGTCCAGAACAGGGCAGGAACATGTCATGTAGATTCATTCCTCACCCTGCTAAGAAGGTCCCTCTTTTGAGTATGCCTACACTAGAGGGAGAAAAGCAGGGGGAAGAGGCTGAGGAAGAACATGGTTGAACTCTGGCTGGCTAACTGTCCTGTCTCAAACATAACATCTTCCAGAGGTTTGCTCCAAAACTTGTATTCTAGAACAAACTGACACGCACTAAGCCTTCATGTACCAGCGCAACCGGCAGCTGTCAGATGAACTACAGCAGGACTCACAGCTTGTCAACCCAGCACAAAGACACCATTAAACCGCGACTGCCCGCATGTCATCATCAGTGCCTGTTAACTCCGACAGCAGAAAACTCTTTGATAGCTCATCCCTAGCACCGCCCGGGGATAAGCTGCTTCACACGACTCTCCTTGTAAAGGCAGAGCTGGCGGCTTCTGCATTCCCTGGCCTGCCCAACACCCACCACCAGTTTTGTGCACAAGAGGAGGAGGAAATCCCACCGACTCCCATCTAGACTACTGCATCCTTCCAGTTACACGAGATACGGCAATTTGTTGGGCAGTAAAGAAGTTGTATTGCTGATCTCACACTGGACACCAGGCATACAGCTACAAAGCACGGCATGATGCAGCAATGCTGGAAACTGAAGCGCTTTTGCCAGCTAATCAAGGCTAACTACCCCAAGCACAACTCCATGCTGATGAAACTATTCCGCTTCCAGTTCTGACATAAAAAAATGTCGTTCTGACAGCACCGTACCACACCGGAGAGTCAGCCAGTAGAACACTAAGCTCAAACAAACCAGTCAGACTACACTGAGGAAAACCACCTTTTTAGCTCCAACAATCCAGATGTGGCATTAAATGTACAGTAGATCCCCAGCTTTAGACAGGGTGAAATGCATCGCCAGCTACTCACAAGGACTGAAGATGTTTGCCTTGTACCATTCAGCCAGTAAGTTCTTTCTCATCAGCAGCCAGCAAGCACATAAACAAACCCAGGGTGACTCACTGCCATCAAAAAATCTCAGTGTCTTCTCATCATCAGCCACCTCCTGTGGTGCTCGGATTGCCTTGCTCAGGACAGTACCTTGTGTACAGCTGTCGACAGACACAAGGTAAGCGGTACATTTTCTCCATCAGCCAGTAGGCAGAAATAACTACTTATTCTTCCTTCTAAAGCTGTGCAGTTAGATACAGACAGAAAAACATTTCCTACTGTTAAAAGGGTTTCTCGATATCTCTGTTACAGCCTGTGAATTCACGATGCCAGCCTGCAACCCAAGAGGATGCTCACGACGGCAAGGTGACCCAAGTCCCTTCTCCGTGCTGGTCAGGCACGCCCACTTTCTAGTGCCTTTGCAGGCTTTTCTGCAAACAGCTCCAACATGACCCACAGACACGCTGTGCTACTGGAGAATATGACAGGCTTGTCAGTTATGGAAGGGCAAAGAGCGGTCATCAGACACGAAACAACAACTTAGCAGTGCAGCGTAACCACATCGCGCAGGTTCAATGGCTGCCTGCTGCTTTATCCCACCATGGGGACCAGCAGTCCCCAAACCCCGTCGCTCTGTGGTATCGTCCAATGCTGCTCGTGAACAGAGCAAACCACAACGAGCCTGCATGGTGCTCTGACACAGGTAGAGGAGGTAGGTAAAGCACACTGTCAAAAGGAAGTCCCTTATCTAACACTATCACCCCACAAGGGACGACTACAGCTCCCTGCCCTGGGACGTGGCTGCTACAAAGCAGCAGGGAGTATCTGTGACAGTATCCATCACCTTCTCCCTTTTGCTTTTTTAGTAACTCTATCGTATCTGATCTTCCCCCCCCTCCTCCAAACAGCAGATCTGTTTACTACCACGTTAGCAGCGATATGAAAGGCAACACTGAAATCAGCCAGTATCACGATTATTCTGGTTCACAGTGACGTTAGGAATAGAAGCAAGGCTCACACAGTTTACCTGCAGCCCCAGAAAAAAGAAACCAAAGTCTTAACACCTCAGCTATGGATAATTTTAAGCCACGCAGGCCTCATCGATCCTTCGGCTACAGCTC